GAAAGAGTCTTATGCAAGTCCTATTTTCTTAGAATTACAGGAGAGTAAATATTATCACTAGATTTACATGCCAAGCTTCATTACTGTGTTTATGATTCTATTGCTGCTCTTCTTGTCCCTAAGGGCTCTGGCCACTGTCTACCTATGTAAGGTGGATTGCCAAAACCAATTATACTGAAGATTCCTAGTGACGTTCAATCATGAATCACAAAGGACTAGTTTTTTGTTGACTCTTTTGTTTCCTGTCCAAAAAGGACTATATAAAGTTATTAGTTCTGACGTCTGTTGTCAAGTGTGTTTCCATGACCAATAAATTCAAATCAAATATCCCTAACTACTTGATGACTGATATCACCACCATTTCCTTATGTTAGTCAGCAAAAGAATAACAACATATCTCCTTGGTTTAGAAATCTTTATTTTAGCCAGCAAGAAAACAAAAACATGTCATCTTGGTTCCAAAAGATGGAAGAATCGCTTTATGATGGAAAACAGCTCTGGATATTTTCAGGGCATTTCTGGCTGAGTGTAGTTACTTGAGAAAGCAGCAGTCACACGTCTTATTATTGGCATATTACTGTCCAGTTTGTATCTTCTTATGAACATCTGAAAATAAATTGTCAACAGATGCCATGAAACACTTATTTCTATAAGGGTAAGTGTAAAAATGTCTGTTACTGATTGTTATACTATGCCAGTATAAGGTATATTTTTAAAATAAGAGGAGGAATTGGATAGAGAATCTTTTATCTTTCTTAAAGCAAAGTGTTAGACTTAGTCAATATTGTGAACACTTATTTTAGTGTTTGGTGAAAAAAGATCCAAAATCATATATGAGATATATTTTTCTATAAATGTATGGCTATACAAATCATTCTAGGCCTAGTTTGAGGGAAAACTCCTAAGAAAATTCCTCCACAAATGCACTTGTATAAAAGGAAAAAAAAAGTTATATACACAATGACACTATATTGATATGTTGTTGCTGTTGTTATGCGCCTTGGAGTCAGTTCCAACACAAATTACCCTGCACAGGGTTTCTGAGGCTGCAAATCTTTACTGGAGCAGAAAGCCTCATCTTTCTCCCGCAGAACAGCTGTTACTTCCGAACTGCTGACCCTGAGGTTAGAAGCCCGATTCGTAACCAATACGCTACCAGTTGACTGGTATTTTATTATCCTTTTCTGATATTTTTTTAAAATTAAGATACTTCCTGGAAGTTAATATTTAAATCACACTATATTTCTGGTGTGGTGCTGTGGAATAAAGCATTGGAACGCAAGGTCAATTTGAACCATAAGGTTGGCAGTTCAAACTCAATAGCCACTCCTTGGAAACCCTATACAGCGTCACTATAAGTCGGAACTGACGTGACATCGCTTAACAACATAGTCAATATGGATTTGAAGAGACCATTAAATGTTTAATATTTATGTGAGTGTGGATTCAGATAAAAGCAAAATATTGAGTATTCAAGATGAAAACTAATTTTGAGAGCTGAGTTAAATAACAAGAGCGTCTGATAGACAGGAACACAGGAAAGAAAGTTCTCTGTGTGAGTTGACTCTAATGACCCTGTTCTAGAGGCCCAACTTTTATCATGCTGCACCTACTAAGCTTGGGTAGATACCCTGTCCTGTGATGGACTCTCTCTGCTGTGGTGGTTGTCCTTAAGTACCGTGGAGTCGGTTCCGACTCATAGTGACCCTGCACAGTGTTTCTGAGGCTGCTAATCTTTACTGGAGCAGAACGCCTCATCTTTCTCCCACGAACAGCTGGTAATTTCGAACTGCTGACCAAATTAATATCGGGTTGGCAGCCCGACTCTAGCCACTGTACTATTAGAGCTCCTCTCTCTGCCGTAGAGATCCCACTATATATCTTTGGTCTATTTTGATGAAGACAGTGATCACTGAATTAAGAAAATCAGAAAAAGGCATTTGTCAAGATTCTGGTAAAACACAAATCAAAGCTTTTCTGAGAGGAATGTATTAAAACCACAAGAAAAAAAAAAAAATGCTTATTCCTAAGTAATAATACCTTTCACATTTGAGAGCACTGTGACTCCACATGATAAGTATTGGACTTTGAACCTCAAGGTCTGTGTTTCAAGCCTGCCAGCCACTCCATGGGAGAAAGATGAGCCTCCCGAGAAGATGTAAAGTCTCAGAAATCCTATGAAACATCGCTATGAGTTGGAACCTACTTGACAGCTCTTAACAACAATAGCAATAACAACAACACTTTTCACATTTAGTAAAGGTTTGAAAATTTGGAATTTTGGAGACATTACTTACAATTTAAAATGTTGTCAACATCTATCAATTCAACTGGGGGGGGAGGGGATGATAAATAACGCTTACTTAGCTATTCATCTAAGCCCAGGCTGATGGGTTTCCTAGTTTACAGTTTTAATTTTTACTGATAAAAATATTGAATAACTATGCAGAAATCTACATACTTAACGTAATATATATGAGATCCTTGGTAGCACACAGATAGCAAACAGTTGTTAATCTAATTTTTTTTTAGTTAGAACCACCCAAAGCTCTGTGAATGAAAAAAACCTGGTAATCTGTTTGCGTGAAGATTATAGCCAAGAAAATCCTATAGAGTACGTCTGTTGGTAAAACATGGGTTTCCCATGAGTTGAGCTTGACTTAATGGCAGCTAGCAAAACAACCACCACCACCAAAGTATAAATAAGGCAAGGCAAATTATCCAGTTATACTTGAGTAATTTTTGATATTATACAGGAATCAAGAAAATTTGTTTATAAGTTGTTGTTGTTAAGTGCCATTGAATCGATTCCTACCCATAGCGACCCTGTATAGGGTTTCCATAGAGAAGCTGGTGAGCTTGAACCACTGACCTTGCAGTTTCAAATGACTTTATAATCTGACGCATTAGCCCACAGCGCCATACTAGGACTCTTTGTTTATAAGTAGTCTGATGTACATTTTTATTTTGCCTTTAACAGTTCCATTTATACTAGTTATTTTAATATCATTAATACTATTATCCCATTTGTTTCTCACATATGTTCTTTGGCAATAAACTACATGCTAGCCCTACCTTTGAGGTTCTAACAGAAACACTGTCTTCATTAAACATTCAGGTACGTGGACTAAAAATCAGTGTCTCTGCCTCTCAGTTTTCTTATTAGCAAAATGAAGATTATATAATGCCTCCCTACAGGACCTCTGGTAGCATAGTGGTTATGAATCGGGCTGTGAACCGCAAGGTCAGCAGTTAGAAACTACCAGCTGTTCCGTGGGAGAAAGATGAGGCATTCTTAACGTCCCCGTAAAGATTTACAGCCTCGGAAATCCTGTACAGGGTCGCTATGAGTCAGAACTGACTCCACGGCACATAACAACAACAACAACCACACAAAAGCATATCAGTCGTATATATAATATCCTTAGGAAAGTACCTGGAGCACTGGAGAGAATTATAAGGTTTTACTGTTATTATAGTCATATACTGAATTAAGTAATATGAAGAAACATGAAGAGGCAGTTTTAAAAGACTTGTGAAGTAAAAAGTTAAATAGTAACAGATTGAAAACAGATGTGAAATTCATAAACGGACACAAAAATTGTGAGAATGAAGGAAAGGAGAGGGAGTCTATCATGATGAAGAGATTCAGCACTTCAACCTTGACTTCTCTTCCAAGTACCAGAAAATAGGTTGTATAAATGTATCCCAGTCAGAACCAAGCTAAAGGAAAGCATGAAAATCTATTTTTTTATGTTCTTTTACAGTACATTCACCATAATCAATATTGTCTTGCAATATAATAGAACAGAGTAGTAAAACCATCCTGTAGTACTACCCAGTGTAATTCAAGGATTAGATGTAAGACATAGGCATTGAAAATGAGTTCTTAAAAACTCATAAGCACTCACTAAGTTTCAACTATTGGTCTTTCCTGTTCAGAGGAAATAAGAGTGAATAAAACTGAAGACCCATAGAAACAATTAGTCCAATGAACTAACGGACTTTGTTTCCATGGTCCTGAGACCAGAAGAATTAAATGGTGCCCAGCTGCGGCGATCAACTACTTTATAAGGGAACACATTAAAAGGTCTCAGATAGAGTGGGAGAAAAATGTGAAACAAAAAGTAAAATTACAAAAAACATTGGACTGGCTGGTACAATAGAGACTGGAGAAATCCCAAAGATTACAGCAAACAATGCACACGTCTGTAAGAGTCCTGGTGTGGGACTGTAGGATAAGCACTGGACTGCTAACCTAAATATTGGCAGTTTAAACTTTCCAGACACCCTACACAGGGTCACTCTGAATCAAAAATGACTCTATGGCACTTAACCACAACAGCAATAAGAAAATCAGTAACACTAGGGAGTTATGCACTCCTTAAAATAATTTATCATTGGAGATCAAAAGTGCAGCATATACCCAAGAACAAAGTTCAGAAGGGTTAGCAAAGAATGAGGAATGGAAACAGAATCACATGAAGGAAGTGGGGTAAGTCATGTGACATTGTGAGGTTTGCAATTCCATTCTACAGTTCATACACATGAAACAAAATGTGTATGTATTGTTGAATGGAAAAGTGATTAGTTCTGTAAACCTTCATCCAATTCACAATAAGAATTTTAAAAGAGAGAGAGAGAAATGTGAAATTACACATTTGGATGTTTATAAGTCAATACACACAAAACCAAAATAGAAATTAAATATTAAATCCATTTAAAATTAAAGTGGTTATTTTAAAGGAGTAAATAAAAATTAAATGGTAAGTACCAAAAATTGATTTAAAACAAATTTCACTTGCTTTTTAGAGATCTCAAAAATTAGGGAGCTCAACTCAATACAAAACTGAAAATGTATTCCTTGGGTCAACAACTAAAACTCATTGGATACACTGAATGTGGAAGAGTGTCCATTATTAGCTATTTTATCACTGAATTCTGAAATTCGGGTTTTTCTTAAATTTGTATGTAGGTTTGGCTTAAGTGTGATACTAAAAATGAGAAACCATACAGCAGTAACAACATTCGTCCTCCTGGGACTAACAGAAGATCCTCAGCTGCAGATTTTCCTTTTTATTTTTCTACTTGCTACTTACATTTTGAGTGTAACTGGAAACCTAATCATCATTACTCTTACATTGATGGATCATCACCTTAAAACACCAATGTATTTCTTCCTCCAAAATTTCTCTTTCCTGGAAATCTCATTTACAACTGCCTGTGTACCAAGATTCCTATACAGTATATCAACTGGAGACCAAATAATTACCTATAATGCATGTGTTGTTCAACTATTTTTGGTTGATCTTTTTGCAGCAACTGAATTTTTTCTTTTTGCCGCCATGTCTTATGATCGCTATGTGGCCATCTGCAAACCTTTGCATTATATGACAATTATGAGCATCAAAGTATGCAAAACAATGGTTATCTGCTGTTGGATGGCAGCATTTATCATTATTCTCCCACCATTTAGCTTAATTTTGAATCTGGAATTCTGTGACTCTAATGTCATTGATCATTTTGGCTGTGATGCATCTCCTATCTTGAAAATCTCATGTTCGGACACATGGTTAATTGAGCAGATGGTTATAGCCAGTGCTGTATTGATCTTTATCATCACTCTTGTGTGTATAGTTCTGTCCTACATCTATATCATGCAGACAATTCTCAAATTCCCTTCTGTTCAACAAAGGAAAAAGGCCTTTTCCACCTGTTCTTCCCACATGATAGTAGTTTCCATCACCTATGGCAGCTGCATCTTCATCTATCTCAAACCTTCTGCAAAAGAAGATGTGGAGATTAATAAAGGTGTGTCAGTACTGATTTCATCTATATCACCTGTGTTGAATCCTTTTATATATACTTTGAGGAATAAGCAAGTTAAACAAGCATTTACTGATTCACTTAAAAAAAAATTGCATTCCTCTCAAATAAATAAAGTACACCTAAGTAAATAAACCATGTTAAAGTTTTGAATCTACTTTATGTTTTTTCATAACACTATTTAATCGTTGTTTTTCTCATCAATTAATGACTGAGCAAGTAATTCTTTAATAGTATTCTGTGGTACATAAAATGTACCTTGTTTAGCCTTTTAGTCAGCAACTTTCACAGTTACATAATTTTTTTTTCCAAGTGATTTTCAATATTTATAATGTGGGTTTAGACAGTCATTCCTAAATAAGACCTACATTCCTGCCCTAATTAAAACAAAACAAAAAATCTGACATCTTTCATTATCAAACTTAAAAATCCATAGTTAATGATGAAATATAAAGAAAAAATATTAGATAGAGGCTATTCAAACCTATTGAAAGAATGCGTTTCTTATAAATTAACAAGAAAGAGTTATGAAGCTTTTATGAATCAAAATGCAGTTTATAAGTAGCAAGAAAATAAGATATTTAATGCACAAAAATTTAAATGAATGTATCTATCATAGAAAGAGTCCTGGTGTGGCACTGTTGCTCAGTATTGGACTGAAAGGCCAGTTTGAACCACAAGTTTGGCAGTTCAAACTCACCAGCTGCTCCTTGGAAACTCTGTACAGGGTCTCTGTGAGCTGGAGTCAACTTGACACACTTAACCGCAACATCATAGCAGGAAGAGATGTATGCGTCTATTATCAACTATATGTTTGAAAATTAAAATGTTGACATATAGTCCATTCATTGCATTTGTACAACGTAAATATTTTGCTATTTTGATGTTTTAGCAAGTATGTGGATAAATTGGCACGTTCATACACAACTTGTTTGAAAACTTTAGATTGAATAATTTATCACATGTACATAGAACCTTTCAGCTTGAATATCTTAATCTAAGAATTTATGAATACCTATAGTTCTGGTGTGGTTCTGCAGGATAAGCAATGGACTGCTAACCGCACGGTTAGCGGTTCAAACCCACAAACCACTCCTCAAACCCTTCTACAGGGTTTCTATGAGTTGGAAACTACTGGATGGCACTTAACAGCAACATAGTTACCATAGGAACCAGGATGGCATAAGGAACCATAATGGATCAAGCACTGACCATCTTATCACAAAGTCAGTGGTTCAGAACCACCAGCCAATTACTCTATAGGAAACGTATGAGGCTATCTGCTCCCATGGATTTCTGGTGTGGTGTTATAGGGTCAGCACTGGATTACAGACCACAAGGTCGGAAGTTCAAACCCACTTGCTGCTCCTAGAAAACAGTATACAAGGTCGTTATGCATCAGAACCAACTCGACGGCACTTAACAACAACAACATCTGTTCCCATAAAAATTGACAAACTTCGAAGCTTTATGGCACAATTCTACTCTGTCCTATAGCTTCACTATAGGTTGGAATCAATTTATGGGAAACGGGTTAATAGTTGCCAGTAAGCCTGAACTATATACTTAACCTTGCTAGTTTCAATCATTTTGTAATAGTAAATTACTGAAAACAGCAAAATGAACATTAATTTAGCAATGTGTAAGTCAATTAGTGAATTATGGTATAAAATGTAGTACTTACCAAGTGATATGGACCTTAATCTAATTAGAAAGATAATTCAAATATTCATATCAATGTAATTTGAAGAACAGTACACATATCATTGTGCCATTTATGAACAAAACACTTTTTGCTGATCATAAATACATTCCATTAGGGAAAATCTATTTTAACCTCCCATTGGCCACCCAGAATACCAAGCCCTTCAGCCATAACACACAGTAGAAAATCAATGCATATTTGATGAATGGATTACTGAATGACTAAATGAGTGGGTACTTAGAGATAAGATTGGGTAGGTGAATGAGTTGAAAGATGTGAATAGAAATGAAATATAAAGCTAACGACAGCCCTATTTTTAGAGGAGTATTGGAGGTACAGGCTGAACCAGATGACACTGTCAGAGAAGATGACATTAAAATGACTGTCTATAAAATTGTGTGCAGTGTTTCAACAGAAAATTTCTATTTTTTAATGAAAATATCCCAGCAGTTAGTTTTCTTCAATGAGAACACTGTTTGTAATCCCAATTAAAATGTACCAATATATCTGCAAGGTTAAAACTCTATGCTAATTTTCTTTTTGAGCCTTCCAGTCAAAGCTGTCATTATACTGATACTTTGACTCATTTGGTTTTGTCTGCAGGCCTGAAAAGCACACACTATTGTTTTTATTGCTGCTAATGTTTTAAGTCAACCACTTTTGCCAACTTTTCTGAGTTTAGCTGTCATACTATGGTAAGTGGTATTTGTGAACCTAAATTGATACTTTGGAATCCTGGTATGGCACATTGGAGTCTTGGTATGGGACTGGACTGCTAACCACCAGGTCATAGATTCAAACCCACCAGCTGCTCATTTTAAACTCTACACAGGGCTAATATGAGTCAGCACTGACTTAATTGCACATAATAACAACAACTGATGCTTTGTTGAGAATGCAGTAGTAATTTGCATGCATTAGAAATCTGTATATAGACCAAGAGGCAGTCCTTCAAACAGAACAAGGGGATATTGAATGGATTAAAATCAGGAAAGGTTTGCATCGGGGTTCTATCCTTTTACCAAGCTTATTCAATCTGTATGCTGAGCAAATACTTTGAGAAGCTGAATTATATGAAGAAGAGCCAGGCATCAGAATCAGAGAAAAACTCATTAACAATTCTTGGTATGCAAATGACACAACCTTGTTTACTGAGAGTTGTTGTTGTTGTTATTGTTGTTATGTGCCATGGAGTCAGATCCGACTCATAGCAACCCTGTACAGGTTTTCCAAGGCTGTAAATCTTCATGGAAAGCAGAAAGCCTTATCTTTCTCCCACAGAACCGCTGGTAGTTTCGAACTGTTGACCTTGCGCGATTCATAACCACTACACTACCAGAGCTCTTTTACTGAGAGTAAAGAGGACTTAAAATACTTATTGATGAAGATCAAAGATTATAGCCTTTAGTATGAAATGTATCTCAATATAAAGAAAACACAAACAGGACCAATAAATAAAATCTTGATAAACAGAAAAGATATGTCAAATATTTCATTTTGCTTGGAGTTACAATCAACAATCATGGAGACTTATTATTAGGTGCCTTTAAATTGATGCCAACTCATAGTGATCCTATATACAACAGAATGACACAGAACATAATCCTGTGCCAACCTCACAATTCTTATTATGCCTAAGCCCATTGCTGTTGCAACTAGGTCAATCTATCTCCTCGGGGTTCTTCCTATTTTTGCTCACTTTCACTTCACCAAACATAATATCTATCTGCAGGGATTGGTCTCTCCTGATATCATGTTCAAAGTATGAGAAATGAAGTATCACCATCCTGGATTTTAAGGAATATTCTGGCTGTACTTCCTTCAATACAAATTTGTTTTTTTCTTATGGGAATCTACAGGGACCTAGTGTGGAGCATAGGATAAAGCACTGGACTGCAAGGTCAGCTTGAACCAAAGGTTAGCCGTTCACACTTAATACCAACATTAATAACAATGGCAGTGTATTTCAATATTTTCTTCAACACCATAATTCAAATGCATGAATGCTTTTATGGTCTTCCTTATTTATGGTTCAACTTTCACATACATCTAAGGCCATTTAAAATATCATGACTTGGATCAGGTATACTTTAGTCCATATACTGACAGCTTTTCTTTTGAACACTTTAAAGAGCTCATGTGCAGCACATTTGCTTAATGCAACATTTGATTTGATTTCTTGACTACTGCTTCCATGAGTGTTGATTGTGGATCCAAGCAAAATGAAGTCTTTGACAGTGTCAATATTTTCTCGATTTACCATGATTCTATTTATGGGTAGACTTGTGAGGATTTTTGTTTTCTTTACATTGGTTCCTCACATTGATTGTAATCCAAGCAAAATCAAGTATTTAACAAATTCAACCTTTTCTCCATTTTTTCATAATATTATTTGTCTATTTGTGAGTATGTTTCTTTTCTTTACCTAGAGGTGCAATCCATACTGGAGGCTATAGTCTTTGATCTTTATCAGTATGTATTTTAAGTCCTATTTGATTTTATCAAATAAGGCTGCATCATCTGCATATCACAGGTTGTTAATGAGTCTTTCTCTAATCCTGATGCTGTGATCTTTTTATTTCTTCAAATTTTAATATACTAGGAGTGACTGAAATAAAAATATAATTGAGTCCCATCATCATCATCAGTATCATCATAGAAATATCTTTAAGAGAAAACTGGTCAGATGAATATTTTTGTTTCCTATTTTCAACCCATAGATAGTTGCCAGTGATACAGACAGCCAACAGCCTGTCATGAATGCTCAAGATACACAGAAACACTGTATGAAAAATAATTGGTTTATATCCAATAATTTCAAGAGGTAAAATATTATCAAAAACCAATATTACTTAAAGAAGAAATCCTGGTAGCACTGAAGGCATTGAAAAAACAAAACAAAACAGCAACTAAATTTAGGAGACATATTGTTGTTGTCATTGTTGTTAAGTGCTGTCGAGTCGGTTCCAACCCATATCGACCCTGAACAGTGTTTCTGAGGCTTTAAATCTTTACGGGAGCAGAAAGCCTCATCTTTCTCCTGAGGAACACCTGGTAGTTTTGAACTGCTGACCTTGTGGTTCGCAGCCCAATTCGTAACCACTACACTACCAGAGACATATACTCAAGGTCGTATTTTGGCTCTTTTAATTTTCTTCTGCTTCATTGCAAACTTGCATATAGCAATTGATGGTCTGTTCTACAGTTGGCCCCTGGCCTTCTTTGTCTGGTAATATTCAGCTTCTCCATGGTTTCTTTTCACATATGCAGTCAATTTGATTCCTGTGTATTCCATCTGGTGAGGCACACATGCACAGTGGATTGTGCCTTCAAATCTCTTTTAACTCATGGAGGCTGTGTGCCATGGAGTCTGTTCCGACTCATAGC